AGGATAATCCGACACTGGTGCCCTGCACATGGGCGTCTCGTCCACGCGTGATTTTCCACAGCCTCCACCAATCCTGTGCCAAAGTGGCTGGGTGACAGATGTACGCACTCCACCACAATACGGATACACAATAAATGAACCCCATCATCATCAAATTTTGATTTAAAGCTTTCGTGACTGCAGTAATTCATATTCTTAGCTCTTTCGGTAAAGTCACGTTGAAGGGAAACAATAAAATAATAAAATATATATAAACAGATGGTCGTCATCTGATGACGACCGTTTGTGTTATGGTCGAAACGTCGTGATAATTTTTATTGTTTTATATATATTTTATTATTTTATTGTTTCCCTTCAAGGTGACTTTACCGAAAGAGCTAAGAATACCCATCGTCATCGTCGGCGTCCGCCGCGGTCAATCCACGACCGAACGAAGGCCTCCCCCAAATTGCCGCCACCTCGAACGACGATCGTTGCGACGGGATCCAAAACATCTCCACGAAAACTAACTCGGTCGTGAAGTTTGCTCGGCCGTTTGTTCTGTTTGCGTTCCTTAACTTTTCCAGAATGTGTGTCCCCAATTTCAGAGTGACGCTTTTAATTGTTAGATTTTTTTTTGTTGGTGGGGAGAAGCATTCGTAGAGTGCTGCTGTACTGAATACCTGTCCGAGATGGAGAAAAGAAAAAAAAACCTTTACGCCGGTAGCGCTTGTTGCGATTTATCCCAGAAACCCCAAATAAGGGAGGCGTTCCGTACGCCGTGATCATTCCCTAGCGAGGTGCAGCACCGCACGGCCGCGAGGCACGGCTTTCCGGGAAGGGAGACGATGCAACAGAAACGAACGAGCGAGGCAATTGCACGGAATGTACTTAGGCTGCCACTTCTGTGAAACCGATTGTACACGGGGTTCGTGCAGTACAAGGGCCCCCCCCCCCCGTCTACCTCAACACACTTAATTTCAAGAACTCAGCAACGTTTCAGTTGTAATGCGGACCGCTTAATCAGAAGTCCGCTTGCGTGTTCAGCGTGCAGGTAAATCTCTGGCAGGTGGGGGGGAGGGCAGGTGGAGGGGAGGGTAGGTGGGGGGAGGGCAGGTGGGGGGGGGGCAGGTGGGGGGGGCAGTGGGGGGGGGCAGGTGGGGGGGGCAGTGGGGGGGGGCAGGTGGGGGAGGGCAGGCACGGATTCGGGTGGACGCGCACACTTGTGTGAAGATTTGTTTCGCGTCCTTAACTTGATGAATTAACCACCCTGATCTTAGCGAAGGGGGTACAGCAAGGAAATAAAAAACCGGTAATGAAGTGAGAGGTAAAACGCGAGAATGCGAAGGGGAAACTTGCTATTATTTAGTTCAACACGTAGGCTTTCGCGACAAATATCATCCATAATAGACGGGGTTTTTTTTTGGGGGGGGGGGGGTTAGATCGCGTAAATTAGTATTTACTATTAATTCCTTTCAAATGAAAATACGTGCAGCCTCGGGAAAACAAAATACAAAGTCTGACTCTCAGTAAAAGTCTGAGGGTGGTCTCTTTGTTGTCCTGTGTGTTGTGATACATTGCCTTGCCCGCACAACGAAGTGAAACTGACTCCCCTGGGGATCACTTAAAGGGTAATTAATGTGGGGTACAAATATTTACCTTGCTCGAGGAGTGGATTTAGCAAACACAAGCGGAGCCCAATTCGGATGTTTTCATTGTTTAGGCAGTGATTATGGGTAAATACTTGAGAGCAAGTTGCATGCTGATATTAACACACGATATATTTTTAAATGTAAAGGTTACTTTTGTCTAGGAACAAATTGTATAATGTATTCATGTGTGTGTGTGCTTATGACTCAATGAGTACCTGATGTAATGTTTAGATCAGTTATAGGGAGACAAAGGTGGCCGGGTGTTTTCCTAGCTAGACTGTAAACTTTTGCCTGATAATAACACATGCACCAGCATTGCTAAAGAGGTGAGTCGTTATACGCGTAACTTGCTGTCATTAATGTCTAAACAGAGACGGGAGAGTCATATTTGTACAAGGAGAGAAAACGAATTCCAGACAATGGGGGCAGCAAACACGAGGTGGTGACCTCCTGCCGTGGAGAAGGTGATGGGAAGTTGAGGTTGACGAATCAGGGAAGAGAGAGAGGGGGGTGGGAGAAGAAAAAGCAACGAGCGTTGAAGGTTACAAATAAGGGGCCGTCCATAAATGACGTCACGCACCTCGGGGGGGGGGGAGGTCAGACATTTGTGACGATGCGTGACGAGGGGGGAGGGGGGTTTGAGAAATGTGACATCACATCAAAATGCGCAACTTTAAATAAATATAGACAACACGTTCTACTTCATTAAATAGACTTTTTAATCAATATTTTCTCCTACAACATCAAGAGTGCAGGGGCACATTAAATACGCACTACAATGGCAATAGTTTAAAGCGATTTGAAGCATGTTTTATTTTGGAGGGGGGGGGGGGCAGAGCTTTGTGACGTCATACTTGAGAGGGGGGGGGGTCTGACTTTTTGTGACGCCGTGTGACGAGAGGGGGGGGGGGTCAAAAATCGTCCAAAATCGCGTGACGTCATTTATGAACGGCCCCTAAGCGAGGTGATGGAAATGTATTCGCTCCTTTGTCCTGCATCAGCATCCCGATCCATACGCGTAAGAAATTTGCATGACATTTATTTTTAGCCACCGTGTGACGGACAGGCGAAGTGGTATCGCAAGCAAGCCGTTTGATCCCAGTCATCACCGCACGCGTGGGGTAAAGATGAGCAGTGGCATCAATCCATGAACGCGACCGTGACCCTTTCTCCACTTTAAACTCTCCACGCGGCATGGATAACGCCATAACCCACGTCGCCGCAGAATATCGTTGCACTGGCGAAATAATAATAATAAATGTAATGGAGTGGGAAGTCTGGGGGGGTGATACGAAATGGGATTGTAAATGATAGTTTTCCGTCTGCGTGTTTTCCATTACACGCCCCATTGAACTATTTCCGAGAGCAAAAAATGCCCATTGCCGTTGTTGCCAACGCATTAACACCTTAATCAACAACAACACACTGGCGGACGTTCGTCTAATGTTTAGAGAGCATGTGGCTTTTTGTTCAGCGAAGCAGAAATTGTAGATCTATTTTTTTTCTCCCCTGTCCAAAACAAAACCTTCAGTGTTTTCAAGTAGACTTTGTGCAATTTTGGTAAATATAATTTCGATTATTTGGTTGCTATTATAAATGACCACATATGACACAGATTAAGCCACTTGGATGAGGTATCATGTGTGGCCAGGTCGCCTCTGAACAAGGCACATAGCTCAGTAGGCTTTACCTGGTAAATAAAATAGTTCAGTTTACCTGTGAATGTACTGAACCAGTTTTTTTTTTACTTGACTGCAATGCCTGTTTAATCTGTCTGAGCATTTGTGTTGTATACTCTTGTTTAAATAAACCAACATTTAATGGCTATTTAACTTCTGAATACATTTTACTGGGCCCTTTTCACGTGACCGCTGTCTACAGCTGTGCTCAATTCAAGAAATGTTTTAATTCATCAATCGCAACTTCAGTTGTGCTGTTTGTTTCTAGCAGCTTGGCTTTTTCAGCCTTCGGGCCCTGTATTCAGCCACCGTGGCATAAAAATAAGAGCTCACGTGTGAATGTGGAGAATGATAGTCTCTGAAAAAGGAGCGATGTCATTCTATCTGTGCCTGTCTCTGTCAGCTTCAATTGTCTGGGTAAACGATTTTACTCCCCAAAGTATAAAAAACTTAAATTCGCTAAATCTTATTTACAGTCTGCCCTCGCTGGAATTACTGGCTCAAATGTGCGTTTCGGGGTAGGAAATAGGGTGTAACACGCTTCCAGATGCACTACAGCTTGGTGCAATAGTGGACATTTATCAAAGTTATATCGAATCCGCATCAACATGTAGATATTAAGGTTGACGGGACTTTGGAAGCGCTCTGTCATCCAGAGGAAACCGCGATACGAAATCTTTAAACACTGCCTGGCCCTCATGGTTCACCAAATGTACCCTGGTGTTGAATCATGGCTAATTTATAACAAAAAAAACACCCTGGGAAAAATGCACCTAGTTACCATTTACAGCAAAAAGAAAGATAATTTTCACAACGACCATCATACATCACTAATGCTGCACCACACGTTTACGTAAATAGGCTTAATGTGGAAATATTATAATGCGGTTGGCCTCACACACACACACACGCGCGCGCACATTATAATTAAGCACAGTGGAAAAATATGTGCAGAAAAGTCACTTTTTGTCATTTTCATCTCGATTCTGATTTCTGGTGCTGCACTACCACGTGGCGCTTCGTGCTGTGTTTGTCGCACTGCAACTTTTGCTGTTGCAATGTACGATTATATTTACCCAGGTCTACCTTGAAAAAAAGCTATATCTGGTCTCGTTAGACGTTTAATCTGGTCTTAATTAAACACATGGAGTGACCAATGTCCCCAATAGTGTCTACCGTGCTGTCGATGGATTAGCATTTTAAGCAGGCGAGATATTTGGCGATTTTTAAAACCTTACACAATCAGCAACATATGCCTGTTGACCCTCATACGAAACAAGGAAGGGTGGCTTAACCCATAATTGAAAACAAACATTACATGACATCTGAAATTGTTGTCTAGGTCCCTTACAAAAGATAATACAAGTGGCCTCCAACCTGGATATATAAATAATATTTTGAATAGTTTTGTTGAATTATAGGTTGGACGATATTACATTGGGACCGCTGTTTTAATGTCAAGTCATTTTGATCAGGTCGACGCAACACCATTATATGCTTTCAGCCATGATTTACTCTACGTATCAAACAAGCGGGTAAAACCGTATATAACACGCACGTTATGATTTAATGTGACAGCAAGTATCAGTCGTTATATTCCACCTGTTGATCAATTTTATCAACAGGTGGAATATAATTTGATCAACAACAACAACAACAACTTAATTCCCGCTACCCCCTTCGCTTGCAGTGGAGAAGTCTCTGACGGCGATGCAGTCGGGGACGCAGATGATCAAGCTCAAAGGGGGCCCGAAGGGCCTTCCCCGCCTCTATTACCTGGACGAGCAGCGCAGCTGCATCCGTTGGAGGCCTTCGAGGAAACAGGAGAAAGCAAAAAGTAAGTTCTGCTTCACCACGGACATTGCCTTCATGCGAGCCTCCTTATTTCCACAATCACGTTCCATTTCGATTTAAAGCTTTCGTGACTGCAAGGATTCATCTTCTTTGTCTAGAGACAGTCCAGTCCCTTCACCTGATGAAGGCCACTTGTGTTGTGGCCGAAACGTCGTGAGAATTTTATTGTGTTATTTTATTTTATCATTTTATTCTCATTCTACGTGACTTTACCGAAAGAACCAAAGAAGATGAATCACGTTCCAATTGTGCCACGGTTGTGCCACGATTGTGCAACAATTGAGCAACCGACCCCATGCTACGAGCCGAAGACGTTTCTGTTCATAACTCTGCAGCCAGCAGTGCATCGCCCTGTGCCATAGCAAATGACCTGCGAGATGAAATGACAGAACTGCTCTGCATTCGTCATCTTTATCCTTTATCAGAATCGGAATCTTGATTTAGACTGGAAGAATTCGATGTGCTATGAGGCTCTTCTTGCACAGATGTCCAGTATGGGCAGGTCAGAAAGTTACAACGACAAACAATACAAAAAACACAGGAGTGCAAATTGTAAATCATTGTTTTCAGACCTGGACTTCAGCCAAACTGAGTAAAAGAAAACAAGCTTAATCCCTTAATCCTTTCTGTCCTTGACTGGGGCTGAGTCCATCAACTCACTACGCATGATGCATAAACCCAGTATCCCAACGGTACTGGCTCAGAGCTCTAATCCCACGAGCTCCCCGGCCACCTGCAACAACTCGCTTCTTAATTTTCCCACAACAATGTTCAGCGAGACGAGTCCCAAGTTAAATTATCTCCTTGATCAAATATGCAGTGCGGTGACACTTACCCCCCCCCCCCCCCCCCCCTTAGCGGCTCAGCGCCAATTGTGGAAATGGACACTTTCACGGCAAAATGGTACTCGCTGTAACTTACGCTTAAGGTATAATGTTCCGAGGTGTACTCCCAACGTGAAGTTGTTGCATTTTGATAATGAACAGAATGCTGTAATCACAGTTCCACCCAGCTACGTAACACCAGCAGGGGAGGGAGTCATCATTATTAATGCTGCGATTTCATCCCAGCAGGGCCTGTAAATGAGTGCCACCTCGTGAACATGCACGGATGAGGAATTCGGAGTGATATGTGAAGTTTAAATGAGTGGCAAGTGGCCTCGGGGCTGCCAAATAAATTATCTTCCACCCCACTACGTGTTTGAGCAGTGACACACTTTGACGTGACGATGTTAGTATGTTAGTGCCATATAAAGCAAATTCGTGGAACTAATAATATATGAATAAACGGCTACTGCACACGTTTTTTTCGTGGTCATGTGTGTTTCTCCGTTGCGATATTCTGGTTGTACCACGTGCAGTTGGAGCAATGTCTTTCGTCTCGTACCATTTGCTGGGCGCTTCTTCAAGAGCTAATTTCGTTAATTTCATGAAGAAGCTACGCCGGACATCGTGCTGAACAATGTGTGGTCCAACCTGAGAACATATATTCGGGAGAACGTAGGAATGAAACTCGCTGTACACTATTCTGGTGGATTGTGGGCAATTCATTCATAAATTAACAGACATGGATCTACCTTGCCAAGAGGAAAACAACACATTTTAGTCAATTAGCCTATGGGCCTTCTGAACCATTTTTTAAACCAGCATTTGTTTTAGCAGGCAAACTTTGGACTGGTTTTGACTTTCCACGTCTCATCAGCAGAGTGAGACCTTTCGATTTAAAGCTTTCGTGACTGCAGGGATTAATCTTCTGGGTTCTTTCGGTAAAGTATATGTAAACTCCTTTGTCAAGGCGCTCCGCTCCTCCCACACAGCTTAAAAGACGCTGCCATGCTTGGCAGGGTTCACTCAAGCGCTGTCTTCCGGACAGTCCTGTTTCTTCACCTGAGGAAGGCTACTTGTGTTGTGGCCGAAACGTCGTGAGAATTTTCTTATGTTATTATTATTTTTATTATTTTATCTCCATTCTACGTGACTTTACCGAAAGAACCCAGAAAGAAGAGTGAAACCTGTTAAACGAATGCGCTGCCAACTCCTGTAATCTGGAATTACTATACCACGTGAAGGGTAACATTTAAAATCTGCACAGATCTTCTGATCACCTTGCAGCCCAACTGCTCCACGCTCGTTACCTTCATAGCATTGGGTTATAAGCCCACGTCACCAGACCACGTGATCATGACCTCGTGACCGCTGTCACACGGATTGGACGAATAATTCACGTCACAGGCAAATTGGGAACAATGCAGTGAGCTGGCAAACGTGTCTCTTAGTATGTATATACGTTGAACTTCCTTCGCACCGTGCGTAAACAACCATGCCAATAGGAGGTGCGGAGGAAGGAAAGCGAACTGAACACGAAAAGTAGTTCCGAAGAAATTCGTTTTTTTTTTCACACATCTGTTGAGACAAAATGTAACGGACGAAAGGTATCCTCCATCGTTGCCACCGTCCACATGAGGTCTTTTTTTCGGTCATTTAGAATATAGTATTTCTGCAGGGTCACGGAACGTGCGCAGAGTAGGCTTATGTGGGTGGGCACTAAGTGTCCACCCCTACCACCTGACTTAATCCGTCCGTTACCCACAACTCCTCACTTTCTTATCCGCACCATAGGAATGGCGGATGTACGGTCAATACCTCGGGAGCTATCGAGTTTTCATTTTATCTGCATCTGATGTGCGCAATGCAGCAGGCTGATTTTTTTCTCCCCTAGATCGTTCAGTCAACACGGATAACGGATTTAGAGGCATTGCAGTTTAAAAACGTTAGAGCAACACAACATTTTGATTTAAAGCTTTCGTGACTGCAGGGATTCATATTCTTGGTTCTTTCGGTAAAGTCACGTAGAAGGGAAACAATAAAATAATACAAAATATAAATATAAAACAATAAAATTCTCACGACGTTTCGACTGCAACACAAGCAATCATCATCAGGTGTGAAAACCATGACAATATATATTTTTTAAAAGTGACTTTACCGAAAGAACCAAGAATATGAACACAACATTTGTTTGTAGAGAATGCTAAATATTGTCATTTGACATGCGGTGGAGCTGTTAATCATACTCGATATGAATGGAATGGATTACAAGTGTGTTTTATATGGCGTGATTGATGAGTGTGAACAAGGGCTTAGAGTGTTCCTCATTAACCATTAATGAGAAATAAACAACTACGGTCGAAGATAGTTTGCAATCAATAATCAACCATGAATTGTTTGGAATTAATCACGTAATGTCCCTCTGCACTAATTAGTGAAGAGACCGAATCTAATTACATGTATTGTTTATTACTTTTTAATTTTGTTGGATATTCTAAACAAGATGGTTCTTTATACGAAGTGGCTTTATCGAGCTCTGAAAGCTCGTTCGCAAGGAAGCATTTTAATTGCATTCCGAGGCATTGTGGGTAATTCCTGTGGTGTGAGTTGCAGTTTTAATAATTACACAAGACGTTTAAAGTTGAGTTAGCGGTGTTTAAAATTTGTTCTCAAGTTCGATTCCTTTTAATGGCTCAGATCAGTGGCAAGTCATTAAAACCACCTCTGCCCTCCACAGATCCATCACTAACCTGCTGACCAGTGCGGGGAAGTATGGTAAAACAAATCCCCTATGACTGTGATCACATCGTGAAGCCTTCATGCTGTCACTTAATTGACAAAGGGCTGTAATTGTAAGCAGGCATAATATTGGCTTCACTTAAAACATTCACAGAAAAAAAAAACCAGCATGCGTCTCTGGCCAACAGGCAGAATTTCAGCCTCATTGCATAATCCTGCCATACGAACACCGGGCTTCGTGGACGGCCGCGCATGCAATCGCTGGCTCGAGAATTCCTCGTCGTCCGCTAAACGTCTATTTGCCGCTTGTCGTCTATCGCTTGCGAGAACTGTTTTTAACGGGCGCGCGTTGCCCGCGTCGCAGTCGCCATCGACTCCGTGCGGGAGGTGTGCGAGGGCCGCCACTCGGAGATCTTCCAGCGCTACCCGGAGGGCTCCTTCGACCCGGCGTGCTGCCTCTGCATCTACCACGGCTCGCACACCGAGTGGCTGGCCGTGGTGACGGGCAGCGCCGACGAGGCTCGCAGCTGGCTCACGGGCCTGCGCTACCTCATGGCCGGCATCAACGACGAGGACTGCCTGGCCAAGCGGCAGCGCACGCGCGACCAGTATCCTTGCGCATGCGTTGCGTGGGCGGCGTGCGTCGGAGCGCGTTTGCGCGCGCGTGCGTGTGCGTGGATGCGTCAGGTTGTGAGCCGAGGGTCAAGGAAGCCCGCGAAAAGTAGAATCTGCCAGCGGTCCATCTCGGTCGGTTAACCTGGAACTAACTGTTAAACTAACTTTTTATTTTTATTTTACTAGGAAAGGCCCACTGAGCTATAGAGCTCTCTTTCAGAAGCAACCTGGCCACAAATTATAGCTCAATGCAGTGGCTTATCACGTGGAAAATTTTATAGCAGGCAAATACTGTGAACGCGTGTTTCTAAATGCTGAGGGAAAAACCGGAGAACCCGGAGAAAATCCACGCGACCACGGGGAGAACACACAAACTCCAAATATACAGGCGTCAGGGTCAGGATCGAACCCATGGCCTCCTGTATACCAGGCGAGGTGGTAAACATCTCGCCACCAAAAACCTTGTCTGGCCTGTGACCTCCTGCCAGTGAGCCTTTTTGACACGTCACGTGACCTCAAAGTGCACAAGCACTGTGGTGATGTCACTGCCACTTTGTGGCGGATTGTGGCTCTTGTTGTTGCGTGTGCAGTGCGTTGTGTTTGGGCTCAGTACTTTGCAAATATTCATTAATTAGTGCACTTAATATTTTTTTTCACTCAAACTTTCATCAATAACAATGTGGCCTTAACATACATATTTTCATGTTATCGGCAACCTTTCAGGCAATGGCTGTTATACATAGCACATACAGTACATCATAAATCCGTTTATATTAAATAAATCCTTTCACGTGCTAGGAAGAAAAGACATTGCCCAAAAAACATTGCCCCTTATATATATATTTTTTTCCCTTTTAAGGAAGTGTTATCGATAATTGTGAGGTTTTTGTTGTTGTTATTGTTTTTTTTATTGTGCTTTTACACCACTGCCAATGCAGAATTTACGAATAGATCAACTTGGAAATTCGTATATTCTGCATTGAAGATCAATGAGGCACACCAAGATGTGGATGGGAATGTGAACGTTGAGCGAACGAGCGTGGGCACAGCAGCCTTTTGCTTAATGGAATTTTGTAGAAGAAGTGTGTCCACAATGCCCTGTTAAGCCCATTTCGCCAAACGCAAACTTGGGTAGCTTCGGGGTAATGTGACATTTGCAGACACCCTGAACATAACTGCCCCCCCTCCCCTCGTTTCCCATTTACCCATTTGTTCCCTCACCGTGTCTGCCACCCGACTTAAATCTACAGCAAACAGCGGGGGAATTTCAAGCTGGTTGATGGCTACGATCTTCCTCGCTGCTGTGGGTTGAAATATAAGGCTCGAGCATAAAACTTGTTGTGAATATGAACCACACGATAGCCTATTATGGCAGCAAGTCTAATTGCATAAACACATCCTCGTTAAGTCACTACTGCCCATAAATACGATTCTATCTTCACATATTCCATCATCCTCATTCCTCTGGAGTCCAGAAAAGTAGTTCCAAAAATCATAAGTGGTTGTCCTATAGAGAGACTGCCCCAGCCATGGGAATGTGGACTGAATATTTGCCCTTGTTAATTTGAAATGTGCCTGTTATAATGATGTATGCTGTTTTAAAACACCCTCATAAACTGTGCGTTCTGTTTGAAATGTCATTCCTATCGTATAGAACACGTTAAAAATAAGAATATAAATTTTAACCTTTGTCCAAATCAAGATGCACACGTCCCTTGCCTAGTCAGATCAGAGCTGCTGGGCATGACATTTTTGCTGAATTTCAGAGGCACCTAGGATAATTAGGTTGCATATTAAAATAATTACAGTGCAGCTCTGCTAACTTCAGCAAATGTCAGATAGCACCGGCAAGCACAGTGTGTTGTCATTACTGCACAGTCCTGATCCCATTTAACTCAGACCCAGAGAAGGCCATTACAAATCTGAACACAGCCTCACACTCTGTTCCAACATGAAAGGGATATATATATTTTTTTAAAAGACAGAATGTCAACAGATTTTGGTAAGTGTAAAAGTTTCCCCACCCACCTCTCTATCGTGTTTGTCAAAATGAAAAGTAACTCATAAGTCAGTGTCCGATTTAGTTAAAATAATAATAAACACATTCATAACGCGTGCATGTTTCACGAATTGGACACAATTGTCCGATCGAGAGCTCAGAGGTGCGGAGCCAGGGCTCAAAGCTAGTTAGCCAGGAAGTGCGTTCAGTTGCTGTGTGGTGTCAGTTTAATGTAACGTTGTCTAACGTTGTCCATCGAGTGATCGGGAGCTCATGAGTTCACGATAAAGGTTCTAAGTTGCCAACCTTTCTAGTCTGGTGTCAACTCAGCCCATCATCAATCTAGGGTTGTTAAAAAGATGTACCACTTTGAGGAAAGTCAAGCTCGTCCTATTGCATTGTAAAGCGCTCTAGAAAGGGCACTGTATAAATCCGAAATGGAATAGAATTCCAGGACTAGACTCAAAGAAGGATGATTTCCACATCTTTCTCAGGACCACCAATAGAGAGAGACACGATGCTTCATTTTCACACGTAGGCTTTCGCGACCAATATTATCCACTGTTATGGACGATGCGTCGTGTCTACGATAAGACAGATAGTTTGTGAGATCGGTGTGAGAGATTGAGACACCTGTGTCAGTGTAGGAAATTGAGGGCAAACGTGATGTGATAATGCATATAGCTGATGAGAAACTACGTTTTTTTTTACCCAAAAAAACCTCACGAAGTCTCAAGAGTATTTTTCCAGAAGAACCTGCATTGGGATGTTTGGCCAATTCTTTTAACGATTGTTTGGCATGTGATAGGAGGAGCCAGTGTACCTGGAGTAAAACCCACACATAGGAGGGGGTGACACTCTACACTGTGATCTTCTGGCCACCTCACAGCCCTAAGCCTCCAACACCAAGCAAGCCCTGGTAGTTATACATCCAAGTACTAGCCAGGACTATATTTGCTTCACTTCCAAGTTTAAAATCGTTATTTCCCATAAGCAATGTGTGGCAGTGATCAAATCAAGAGTGTCATAAAGGCATGGATGGTAAAAAAAACAGTAACTCGTTTTCACCCTCAGATCATATTCGAAAACACACATTCACATAAAAGCAGTGTATTTTAAATATGTTATTACCATATGTACAAAACTTGAATTTCACAAATAATATATTTTTAATCAGTTTTAGACATGAAACGTTTAATGGCTATGCATGTGCCTGCAATTTGATCGTTTTAATAATAAGACACGATTTAATATTTTATTTCCCTTAAGCAGTGCGGATTTATAATTTATTAGTAAATTATTTCGTGTAATTTGCATCCATGAAATCCTCTTTCGCGAGTTATTTAGATGTTCACTACGACGTGTATGCAGTATGAATGCATGCTCGGCAGCTGAAACGCCCCACAGAATATGCATGGTTGTGTTTGAATTTGAGCAAATCATTGCACATTCTAATACAGGCTCGAGGTTGGCCACTGAATTTCTCTTCAGTATTTCAGTAATATTCCATTCTGTAATTGTAATCTTACAAATGGTACTTTGCACAAGTGTAATGATCGTGAACATTACGACCATTAAGTATACATTTTTCTTGCACTATGTCGGCTGTGATTATTCCAGGTGAAAAGGTTACAATACGGAAATTGGATTCGGGTACCAGATATGTTAATTTTATGTTAATTGCAATTACTAAATTATAGGCCCTCTGAAATCATACAATTTGGCTCATTTGGGAATGTCTCCTTTAATTAACATGGCACACATGTAGGCACAGCTGTATATTATGAGTGAGATTTTAAAAAGAACATTCTCAGGAGTGCATTGTAAATGATCACAAGCTTGAGTTTATTTGTGTTTATTACACAGACGATGGTCCCATTTAGCCAGTCGCCCGGCTATTTTACAAGGGAGACCTGTGGTGAGTGAGCACAGCAGCGACAACAAAACAAAAACATCGACATTGCAGGGAACGAGTATGGCAGGGCCCTTAAGTAATATTATACCACGAACAACACAAGGTGGCTCGGCAGTACATTTTGAGCCGAGGCACTCTGTAGTATCTCATTGATCACGTGTGCATTGGGGCCACCGATCGGCACCGACTGTCTCCATCACGTGGCCCTAAGTTCGTGGCAGAAATTCCACTTTTTGTGGCCTCTAACTCGTCCTCAAATCTTCCCATTGGCCACATTTTTACTTGTACAGAATAAAGGAATTGCACGCCAAATTTGAGCATAGAGGTCCACTCCCGAGGTGGTGTTTATGGATACCAAGTTATTGTCCATAACAACACTTGGAACAACGAATAATGTGGGCAAATTATCATATTGTCCCTCTTTATCCATGGACTGGCCTCACATGGACGTGCTGTGTTAGTCCTATTATCCACAATAATTTTTGCTGAAATCTGTTATTCAAGTGTATCTGTTATTTGATTTGCCAAATAAGAGGAATAATGTTAGCAGAAAACCACGGATTAAATATGATTTGCCAATAATTTCCCCACGATTAACGTGGATAAAAATATCACTGTTCATGGAGGTATGGGTATGGTTTATTTAGCTGGTAGGTGAATGTGAATACGATAAAACAGTAAGATCACACATTATAATCCTATTTAGAAATCAGAGGTTCGAGCAAAATTTACATTTTGATATCTGCCAGGATAAACTAAACTCGTTTTTTTTTTATTTTACCAGGTAAATCCCACTGAGCTGTATAGCTCTTTTTTCAGAAGCGACCTGGCCACAAATGATAGCCCAGTGAAGTGGCTTGTAATGTGGAAATTTAAAGCAGCCAAATACTCTAAACGCGTGTTTCTAAATGCTGAGGGAAAAACCGGAGGACCCAGGAAAAAAATCCACACGACCACGGGGAGAAAATGCAAACTTCAAGCAGAGGGGTCAGGTTTGGGAACAAACCCACGACCTCCTGTATATAAGGCGAGGTAGTTAACATCTCGCCACCGCCGATGCATTACACAATACAATAGAAAACACATTATTTTTGCCAGCAAAAACAACATTTGCCCATTGTGAATTGGGCCTTAAGGTTATTCCGTGGTTGCCTCACGATTACGTCCCAACGACTGCTTTCGCGGCTTTAAATTGTTAAGGTGTTCCAAAGTGGCCTGTTGAGACACTGGATATGTTCATTCTCTTACCACCATTCACCTAATCCACAACGTGCATGCCCCCTGCAAATATAGCCAACCACTAATGAATTACCCTGCGTGTACGTGCTAAAACATTCATTTACACTCGTGGTGTTTTATAATACGAATGTCAACGTTCCTACATAGCGAAGTGAGCATTGGTTGGAGCCTGTACCAATTGGCAACCTCGAGACAGAAAAGCCGCATTCCTATGGCACGTGCAGTATTTTAATACAGCAACTGCTGTTGTCTTGCCACGAAGCGGTATGTATTTATTTGTTATGGAGTGTTGACGCGGCAGGCATGCAGGCAACAATAAAGCAACAACGCAGTCCTACATTTGCCGACACGTTGTGGCCGCGATGGGAAAACTCGTTATCCGTAACGGACCGTTCAGGTGGCTGAAGCAGACCTTCATGGAGGCCGACAAGAACGGCGACGGATCTCTGAGCATCGACGAAGTCCTGCTTCTCATGCACAAGCTCAATGTTAACCTTCCCCGCAGGAAGGTTAAGCAAATGTTCCAGGTGAGAGGTGGTGTTTAAACGCGCATGCCCTTTCTGTCGCACGGCACTACAACCGATGCGGGAGAGACTGCCACTCGTATGTCGATTTGAAACCCAGCAGGCTGCCCTGGTTAATATTGCTTGTACATTGACTGTAAAGCATGCGCCTATCTGCTTCACAGTAATGTCGTTGGAAAAGAGTAGACCATTGTGTGTCAGCGTAATGGTAAACATTTGCCAAATATAAAAAAAAAATTACCCACAAATTACTGAATTGTGAATAAACAAAACAATCATCGCCCCCTACTGGCAAACTGTTGTCTGCTTGTGCTGCACATGAACTGCTGCCTCTGGGGGGGGGGGGTCCCTTTGAATCCACGGTGCCGAGATGTTAACTACTTCACCTGATATACAGGAGATTTTGGTTTCGATCCCGACCCTGTCGCCTGTATATTTGGAGTTCGCGTGTCTCTCTCCCCGTGGTCACGTGGATTTTTCTCCGGGACCTCCGGTTTTTCCCTCCACATTTAGAAACACGTATTTGGCTGCCATGCATTTCCACATGATAAGCCACTTAGTTGAGCTATCATTTGTGGCCAGGTCAATTGTGCAAAAGAGCTGTATAGCTCAGTGGGCTTTACCTGGTCAAATAAAAAATAGTTTAGTTTAGATGAGATACGATTTAAGGCACTTTGAGATGCTGAGTCATTTAAGTGCCCTATAATTGCATCTATTATTTTCATTGTTACTGTCAACAGCGTCATCTTTGCACGTAAAGGAAAACAACTATCATTCGTGGAGCGGTGGTGGACGAGTAATGGCACTCTGCTAATAACTGTCGTGATCACACCTGTAATATGAAAATTGCAGTCAGATGGTCAAATTATTATGGCTGCTACCTCCATGTGCTTTGGGTCCACTGCACGTGGGAGATTTCTCAGTGTATTCAAACATCGGTGCTTGAAGTGTCTTTCAAACTGGAAGGATATTCAATTGTTTGTTGAAACACACATTTCGGGGGCAACTTTGCTGCAGACCTGCATTTCTATTCCCCACATTATTGCCTGCCAGAAATGACACATTTTGTTGCCAAGTTTGGTTATTTGATTGGTTTGCCTTGCATTATTTATTTGGGTTATTTTTTTTATTTCCTTACTTTGGCATTTATCAGTGGTGGTGTTGATGGTCCCGAAGGAAATACTGCTCCCTCACTATTGCAATGTGGGCTTATGCCACTGGCTTGGGATATTCCAAGGTGATCTGTGTTGTCCCATGCTCAATTAAGAAGCAAGAATATATAGGGTGCTTAAAGAGGTGTCATAACCCTTATTATAGAATTAGAGAAACCCATATGAAAAAATCTTCATCCTATCAAGTAAATGTGCATATGCGTATTGAGTTTTATCAGCGGTAGTGTATCGGTTAGCGCACTGCGCTACGAACCCGGCCACCTGAGTTCGACTCCCGCTCACGGCTAACACCAGTGACGAATATCTGATCCGGTCCTGGGCCTCCTCCCCTAGGTCTACTTAGCCTCAATTGGGAACCTAGTGTGATGTGTAAAAACATAACCACTAGGGGGACAAAGGCCACCCCACCCCCTCGTGTGCCGTGTCGGCCTTCATAGGTGGTCGCTAACAGCACTTGCCACAACAATCTGTTAAGACTATATGCGGGATATGTGTCTTTATCTTTGTTAAGTTTTATCAACCCAACTCAAACTGCTGCCTAATTCGAATTATTTCATCTTGGATGGCGCCTTCATTGACACATTATACATTGGCCGAGATTCCCATCTGAACAACACAGCTGGGAAACACACTTAATTGGAAATCCCACCGATACCGTTTGTTGTGCAGGCGTCACCGCATTACCAATAAACAGCAACAAAAATCTGACCAAAGTGACCATTTGTCAATTCGAGAATACTGCCCTTGGACTTCCACGATGCACGCGCGCCTCTTCCCCCCCCCCCGTGTGTCTTTTATCGACGTGCGGAACCCTCTGCTCCACAGGAGGCCGACACAGACACCGACAAGGGAACGCTGACCTTTGAGGAGTTCTGCGCCCTTTACCAGAAGATGTCCACCCGCCGTGACCTCTACCTGATCCTGCTGCGCTACAGCAACCGCAAGGACCACCTGACGGTCGATGAGCTTCAGCGGTTCCTGCAGATAGAGCAACAGGTGCCGCGCTCGCCTTGCGTCAACTGGATACGGATACACTTTGGCATTGAACACGAACACCAACAGGAGGCTAGCCAGAATAGTTAATTAAGGAAATTGGCTTGTAGTGAGGTGTAACTCCGCACACGTATGTATGTATGTATGTAAAAATTATTTTGCACCGTATGTAGCCAATCGTGCTCATCGGAGGTGCAGGATGTTAAACATCTGCAAGAACGAAGCATTTGCAAACGAATTAAGACTTGAGAGTTCTAATTACAATGGCCTTCCCAATTGCTTTGTATGTAAATTGAATCTTGGGCATCGGAAAAACGGTAACATTTTTTTGAGATTCAATACCACAAGAACACAGTTCGTAAATCCCTGGGTGGAAAGAATCACAAGCGGGCCACTTATTCGACGAATCCCAAATAGCACAGAGAACACTGAAGGGTGAACACCGTAGACAGCTGAGCTACTCTGGGCAAATTATATTAGAAGAAGATGCAGAAGTAGGCCTGTTAAAAGATAACCATGCAATGAAAAGTACGATGGGAAGAAGTGTAGAGCAAGTTTTTCGACAGGACGGGGGAGAGAGCGTGAATGAGAAGGCAGGAATTAATGCAGTGAGCAGTCGGAACGGCACAATACTTGATGAAGTGGAGAGTGCTCGTTGTGTATGCCGCAGAGTCTCACAGGGGATCTCCTAAACGACAACATCACTCGTGAAAGCAATGAGCTCACGTGAGCGCCTCCAATGGAAATATTTTGACAGTGGATGTCAACCACAGAGGGTGGTGATTAACATGTTGTCCTCGCGCAGAGTCCATATTTTCGTGTTTGCCATTGCACCTGTGTGAGTGATATTGGCTGTACATAATTTACATTTAAAATACAATTATTTCTCTGATCGAAGGCAAATGAGGGCTCACTCACTCAGAGGGGTAATCCCCATTCGCGTGTCGCCAGCATTCAACGTATTCATTCAGCGAGTGCGTAATCGCCGAGCCGCGCCAGTAGCGTCCTCGGTGGCCATGTGCGGTTCTCGTGGCCAGTGGACGGTCACCACCAGTACGCAACATCGTTTGTACGATGCCACAGCTGCAGCTTAGGTTGGCGTGAAGACCCCTTAGGGTAGAGGTTGACTGCGCAGAGAGACCTTGCCCTGTTCCAGAACCTGTTCAGCAAGGCCCATTCAACGTAAAACCATCCTATATACATATATATAGGATGGTTTTAATTTTAATGTACAACGTGTCTTAAGTGTAACTGCAGCTCTAGATGCTGTAAATATGAAACGCAACACAATTTAAACTTGCGTAGCGTCTAAACGCCGCCGCAATTCAGGACACTTCACAAAATGCTTTTCGATACGGGGTGGGGAAGAGTCCCCCCATTTAATGTTGTCATTGCACCGAAACCATTCTCAAGCCTGTCTCGCCAGTGAAACGAGCGTCACCGATAGCGGTCATCGCAGAGACGCTGGCACCACACACAACGTAACGGGCGAGAGAGTCGGGCGTGTGCGTGCGTCGTCACCTGCGTTCAGGCTCTGCCTTATCTCTTCGTTCACCTGGCTTTAAGAAGTGAATAATAGATGAGGCAGCTGTTTCTGAGAGCTTTTAATGCCCGCTATATAATGGGGGCAGACGCTCCGACCAGAGGTGACTTGCGGCAAGGGGAGAGCGGATTGCACCTTGAGACGTTTCATTTGCCTGAGCGGTGAAGCAATTGACCCTCCACTGTGTTTCGGTGAATTGTTACGGTGTGGCCAAGAAACGATAGGTTGGAATTTTTGTTTTCGCTTTTCTGTAAATGGCGATTCCCTCTCGTGGATGCAAGAATTGGACTGAAAACTCATAAAATATATGCAAGATCAATTAAATCTTTGGCAACATTTTATCCTGAATCAGCCCTGATCTCATTAGATCCAGGAGGATAAGAAAGGTTGAGCATGGATAGTGCGTGTATGGGTGAGGACCATGCATAACACAGGTGCTGTTTCGGCTACTGCTGCTGTCAGCAAAAAGCAGTGCAGCAAACTCCATTGTTGAACTGTACTTGCTTCGGTATTATGCTCCTAATCTGCACCAAAATTTGCACTGTCCAGCGTGGTGAAGTATAGCTAAATAACCTCCATGACCCATGCAGTGTGGAGAGGCCCTCGTCCATTCAGCAGTGGATTGACAAACATATACTGGACATAAAATGGGGCCTTTTCTGCCAGTATCAAAGTATGAAAAAGTAAGAATAGGTTTTACCCTTTCTGGCCTATAAAACTGGTGTTACGATGCTCAAACACCAAATATAAACCTTTGGCAAGGAATAAAGTTCGCATTAACCACACACAGTACTTGTGGTGAACATGCAAACAAACATCCTCTGATAATACATGGGCATTGTCTTTGAAACTAATTGGCCTACACCAGAGACAGCCTTCTTTAGGGCCTAGTCTCACCAGTGTCAGACCACTGAACATGTTTGCATGTTCACCACAAGTACGTGTGGTTAATGCAGACTTGATTCCTTGCAAAAGGTTTATATTAGGTGTTTGAGCATCTTAACACCTGTTTTATTGCCAGAAAGGGTTAAACCTATTCTTATTTTTCCATATCCTGGATATATTCATAAAAAAAGATAAAACCTTGAATTTATTACACATGCAATTCAATGCATGTATCATCAGGAGCATGAGAGATAATATTAATTGATCAATCAATGCATCGCTCCAGCTCTGGCGGAAAGTACGGAGCGCAAGTTCCGTTGACCGCGCCGTATATGTGACTGCACGGGACGTGCCTCGCCTTGAGTGTCCTGAAAAACTCGAGGCCTAAATTTGAGCCACACGTTGCACGTTCAGCTGCACGTGACATTTACCGTGTAATCTTTGCGAACGTTATTTTCCACTCTTTGAGTGAATTTAAAAATAATAACAGCAATAATGGGGCGGGAGGAGGGAAAAACCCATGGGATTACTAGTCACAAACCACCGCGTGGCAACAGATGGATGGATTAACAACCCGGGGTTCTTAATCCATTGCGTGATCTACAGATTTACATGATGCTTTATTGCACTGTATCCCGTGTCTCTGCGTGCTGCCTATTCGATGCGGAGCATTCGCAACATGTTGTACAAAAGATGTGTGAAACTCATTTCGTTTGGAAATATCCCCAATAAGTTAGACACATATTATTTACATTGGCATCCAATGCCCACTGGCGGTGATATTGCAGCAGAGTCATTTTCTTGAGACTGCTTTTTAAACGTAGATGTGTAAGGTCAGTGCTGGTCACACCACGCCTGATAGGTGCTCGCAAACAGCACCTGCCCCCGACCGTCTTTAAAGATAAATATGGAATTCATATCCATCTGGGTTGGCCCTATGGATAGAGCATTCGACTGTCAATTAGGAGGACGCAAGTTCAAGTCCTGGTCAGGGATTGACTCAAGCCCATCATCCTATTGGGGACAATAAATTGTGTGAGCCTATCCAGTAAAGCCAATGAGGTTGGCTCGGCAGTGGAGCGAGTGGCTTGCAATTGTAAGGTTTAACATTCCTGGTTGAGGAGTTGACTCATCCCATCATTTCTATGGGGGTCTCTAAAACAAGTACTGCTTCATGGGGAAGCAAACAGAATTTCCACCACTGCCTCAGGGCTGTAAAGGACAGACGAGCGCAAACTCAATGCTCATTTAACCCTTTGCCGTAACAAGATGTCTGCAAGTTGCAGGACGGGTGTCCCGCTTACCGCTGAATCTCGGAACACGCAAGCGTTTCAGCGTTAATTTTATTTTGAGAAGCATCACGCCGTTGTTTTAGAGACATTGTACTCGCCACAGTGAAGTGTAGCGACTCTATGATAGCTGGCACCAAACTGTGCCACGCGCCATCCCGCATGGCATTGTGGGAGCCTCAGTACTAATGAAGTTTATTTTATTTTATTTATTTCGGTTCCGTTGTGATAACGTACACATACGTCATTGGAACGGGAAAGAGTTAACTATCTCAGTGTAGCTCCTCGGATGTACAAGGCATTCCAGCTTATTTGCAACATCAAGGTAATGATGCCCTGTTAGAGAAAAGTATAATATAGGTCCATAAGGAAGAGGGGGTAAGCAGCGAACGATGTGAATGCTGTCTCCCACACGCTGCAGATGACGGATGTGAGCAGGGAGCACTGCGTGGACGTCGTCAACATGTTCGAGCCGTGCGAGGAGAACAAGCAGCAAGGCATTCTGGGAATTGACGGTAACGGCAAAAAAAAAACAACCTCTCAACATCTGGGTGGACGTCGGTACCATTTTATGTTAACGCAGGGATAGTCCCCACACGATTGCTGCGGATGCCACACTGGCATGCAGGCAGCAGTAGAATATCACATGCTTATTGTTATGTCTGAATTACTGTATTCAAGCCGTCCATTCGTTTGTTTTCATGCGTTTTTCTTAGTGCATTCTGAATTTTAAAAGTGTGTTAAATCCTCAGTGTCATGTCCATTATATAACTAACTGCAGTGTTGTTGTTGTTCCAGCCGTATTCCTCTTTCGTACACTCCGAATTTGCACAGGGTCGTTTTTCAAAGTCGCATGCAAAGTGCTGGAATTTATGCTGAAAATTAATGCATGGCCGAAGCAAGCTTGGAGGAATGTAGCGCAAGGAACTATAAAAGCATAGGCAATAATCTAAGGCCATAAAGTAATAAAATTTAATGCATCGAACATATTAAAAGCAAGGCAGGTTTTTGCCACTATAGCAAATGTTTAATATGCTAATGTGTCACCACTTTAACCCCGGAACAAAACTAAAACATGACAAATGTACACATCTATATATACACGGCAGCCTGTGGTTCGGCAATGGGTACAGTTTGTTACGTGAATGTAGAAAGTGCATTGGCCTTGCGAGCAATATTGGCTCGCTGCCGTCGACTCAGCCCATCACCCTGTTTCCGATAAAGTTGTGTTCCACTCTGTGCAACAAAACAAACAATTACTTCTCACGTGAAGTGACTGCTAGAACTTCCACCGCTCGATCAGGGTCACCTATGGAGATAATTGCTGCCTTCTGTTTCATTCTTGGTGGGGTAAATGGGGGGTAGGGGGGAGGTGCATTGAACATTTTTATATTGTTGATATTGACAAAAGAGAATACATGGAATGTTTTATTATTATTATTAAAGTAGGGCCATATTTGAAAATCCTGAAATTTCATGACCGCCTCACCCCCTCACCCCCTTGGGAGGATTCTACGTTTGCCCCTGCTTTCCAGAAGCCATGAGAAATCAGACTCTTGAAAGGGATGTCCCAGCTCCCTTCGTGTCTCGTCCCAGTGCTTCCACAGCTGCTAGGTCACTGTGTGTTTGGGCCCTCCCTCCTCCTGCCTGTCCGTAGCCAGAGGGAAGCGTTCGTAAAAAATAAAATGTACTTTTTTTAATTTTTCACTCGGTGATATTGACGTACAGGTGGGTTGCAGGCTACTTATGTCCAACATCAACCCGCGCCTGCCTCTGACTCTAGCTTCTTCAACTCGTGCTATACCCAATCACAAAACGAATTTGATGCTTTCGAGATATGTATTTGCCACTTGTCTTTTAACATTTCTAAAACACGGCTTAATACGTACTTGGTGTTAGGTCATGCTAACCGAGCAATAATATATATATTTTTAACACACTCACAAAGCTCAGAAGTTGACCCGCGGCTATTTGATCCGTCTTTGCCACCCGCGTTTTCCCAGTCTGTTTCTGAGGGAAGCTTCAGCTACTGGCCACTATGCCAAGGTGGCCCTGCTATCAGAGTCTGGTTGGCCTGACATGGTCAACACCGGAAATCCAGGTTGAATCCACTTCGCCATTGGCTGTGGAAACACGGCATCTGACTCCGCAGGCTTCTGTAACACACAGAAGTTAATCACCTTTGACTGCCGATGATCAAAATGTACCTTTGAAATTGATTTTTTTACAATCTATAACTTAAAGAATGACAATGCACTGCTATCACTGCTGCTTCCCCACCATTCATGTGCTGCCGCTATTCATTTGATTAATTTAGCCACGCAGAGTGATATATCATGCCGACATGATTGATGGTACCTGTCCCTCCGTACATCGCTGTGGGCTTCTATTCAATGGCAGAGAGAGAGAGGATGAGAGAAGTTGTCAAAACACACATGTGCACACACACTTATACTCTACATTGTATAATGTGTATATATGTTCATGCAGGCTATATACATATCTTGTGCATACGTATACTGTATATACACACACACGTTTTATCTTTACACATACATGTACAATGCAACATACATATACACCCACAAAGTAGCCTATCGAGTAATTCATAACTTGAATTTATTCACATTGCTGTAACAGCAGCATGCTAACCATATTGTCATTATGTGAAACTATATAAACACATCGGTCATGCACGCTCATATACACAAATTATCACCCGGTAGTTTAAGTAATGTTAAAAATTACAGTTGGATTGTGTTAGAGTACCCCGAGGCGGGAATTTATGATAATCACGTGACCCAGGATGTGGCCAATTTCATGAGATTCCAGATGCTAAGGAGAATGAAGCCTCGGTCGTGTTTGGATGGGTGACCACCACTGCTTACCATGTTTTGTAGGTATAAGGCTACAGGCTGTGAGGTGACCAGGAGATGACAGTACAGAAATGGGCTCAGTCCACATATGCGTCGAATGCATGTGGGCTGTGTGTGTGTGGGGGAGCTTGGATTCATCTGTGGGGAGCTTGCATCGTTGTCCCATCGCATCCAAGGGGTTTTGCCTTGGTACTCTGGTTTACACCAACACTCCAAACACTCATTAAGTCAGGGGTGGGTAACGTCCGGCCCGCGGGCCGTATGAGGCACCGCGAAATCATTTGGGTCTCTGGCCCTGCCAAGGCAAACGCAGGCGGGACTCGAAATTCAATAAATCTAGGAGCAAACGTGGAAAAGCAGTTGCGAGTAGCAACGTCATCAATACCGGCTAACATCATCACCACGCCTCACCAAAGAGAGGCAGTTCCAGCCATTACATTAGGGGCGAGTTAATTAAATGTTTGACCAAATATAACAGGCGAATTTTTCAGTTGATAATTTTGTATGGCCCACGAATGATGTTATATAAATATCCAAATGGCCCTTGGCAGAAAAAAAAGTTCCCCACCCCTGCATGAAGTGATCTACAAAATGGGACCTTTTTTGCCAGTATCAAAGTATGAAAAAATAAGAATAGTTATACCCTTTCTGGCAAGAAGTTCAAACACCAAATAGAAACCTTTTTACTGCAAGGAATCAAGTTCGCATTAACCACACACAGTACTTGCAAACAAACATGCTCTGATAATATATGCATTGTCTTTGGCCTACACCAGACCAGAGACTGCCTTCTTTAGGTCCTAGTCTCACCAGTGTCAGACCACTGAACATATTTGCATGTTCATCACAAGTACTGTGTGTGGCTAATGCAGACTTGATTCCTTGCAAAATGCATATATTTGGTGTTTGAACATCTTAACACCCGTTTTATTGCCAGAAAGGGTCAAACCTAACTTATTTTTGTCATACTCATGAAGGGAATTGGCTAAACATCCCCAATGCAGGAACCTCCTGAAAAAGAGTGTCGTGACTCAGTGAGGCTTTCCTTGGTAAACAATTGGCCATTTTTTTATTCCTGTATTATACTATTAGTAAAATAATGCGTTGACATTATTCAAGAGTAATTTAATTTCCCGTGTTGGCCGAATGAATTAGCCTCCAATCTCGTGCGCGGCAAAAGTGTTCGTCACGAGCTGTCCCAAAGCACTTTGTACAGGGCATGCAATATTTAAATGGCCTGCTTGAATTTCATAAGGTCATACCGCTGCATGCTGTGCCTGGGCGTTACACTTTATACAGCGGTTCACATTCGACTGCACACTATTATATCCTCATTAACCAGGATTTCCTCCCGCCCGGGGGTGTGTTAACCACGCAGAACTACTCTGAAGCTGTTGTTTGTCACATCACGCCACGTGTTAACACCACAGGGTAATCTATCCTACACTGCAGTGAGCTATACACGTAGCACATGCTGTGCTGTTTAACGCATCACATCTTTCACTAAAAAAAAAAAGATGGAGCAATCGCGCAGCGGGTCATTCACCGTCCTAGGAATCCGGCGACCTGAGTTTTATTCCTGGCCATGGTTAACTTCAGTGGCGAGTGGTATTTTAATTTGCCCTGAGCCGCGCTGCACTTCATCAACCTGTACTGACAATTGTGGTGAGGTATGATAAAAACAATTTCCCGCGACTGAAACGACATGGCAAGGCCTTCACCCAGCAATGGATTGCCACAGGGCTATACTGTTCTTTTTTTTTACAAGAGGTTTAAAAGTAATACCATTTGTAGTTTGGTGGTATAAAACAAATTGCTTGCGACTTTTTCATAGCGGTAGCAGTATTGTTTGAGCTATAGGGTGCAAACACACATCACTGAGCGGGAATATATGACGGGCATTTAAAAAAAAATTGAAACCGTATCCGTTCAGTGAGACGTAGAATTCCATTGCTGCAAATGGCAATCTGCCGAAGACATTGACCTTGCCGATTCTGTCACGTGGCTTTGGGCTGGGGGAGCGGGGTTCGAGGGCAGCGATGCTCCCCACCGAGCGAAGCGGAGATAGCTGACGCTGTGCGGCGAGCACAACCCCAGAACGCGCGACACGCCGCCACCGGGATTGTTAAGTGACCCTCGATGTCCAAGAAAGTTGCGTGCCACCCTTGCGTGAAGACAGGAGCCACGGTGCAACTGTTGGTCACCTTATAGGAAGCCCAGAGAGGCGTGGAGACTCATAGAGACGCGTAGAGGTACGTTGAGGACCTAAGCCACGGTGCGACTGTGGCCATGCAACCCACACTATGGGTTACCTTATAGTGAACCCATAGGGACACAGAGACTCGTAGAGACGCATAGAGACACATTCAAGACACGAGCCACGTGCAACCCACACTATGGGTTACCTTATAGTGAACCCATAGGGACACAGAGACTCATAGAGACACATAGAGACACATTCAAGACACGAGCCACGTGCAACCCACACTATGGGTTACCTTATAGTGAACCCATAGGGACACAGAGACTCATAGAGACGCATAGAGACACATTCAAGACACGAGCCACAGTGTGACTGTGGCCATGCAACCCACACTATGGGTTACCTTATAGTGAACCCATAGGGACACAGAGACTCATAGAGACGCATAGAGACACATTCAAGACACGAGCCACAGTGTGACTGTGGCCATGCAACCCACACTATGGGTTACCTTATAGTGAACCCATAGGGACACAGAGACTCATAGAGACGCATAGAGACACATTCAAGACACGAGACACAGTGTGACTGTGGCCATGCAATCCAAACCATGAGCCAAGTATTAAACCACTGTCGTCTGCACTCATTCAATGGAGGATTAACAAAACTCACGAACTCTCTCCTGAAGCCCTCTCATGTCCCGCAGACCTCGACACTGGCATTTAAAAAAATCTCCCAAACATATCGACATTCTCAAGAATACAACTACCGTACAGTACTCGTTAAAATTGATTTTGAAAATGGTTGATGGGTATAACTTTATCAAATTTAAATGAGAATTATATTGTGTAATGCTTTTGCCTTAATTGCCCTAGCCAGTTGAATTCTCATGATGTAGGGTCACATTTTGATTCTTGATTTGATTTGTTGCTTATGTAGTGCATTTAGCGCCTCTGGTGGCTGCAGCAATTGCATGAACCAATTGCATACAACATTGAGGGATTGAAAATGTGTTGATTGTATACAGATCATTGCATTTTTTAATCATGAGGGTAAGAATAGATTTTAATCAATGAATCGAAGCATAATTGCATTCCTAATATATAGCTACTTTTAAAGGGTTGACTGGAGGTGGTGTATATTGCTTACAGGGCAATATTTATGTATATATTGATTAATAATGATATTTTACACTCACATTACATGTTACAAATTGTGTGTGACAATAAATTATATGCCATTAATGTAAAGTGTATGGAAATGGTATGCTAATGATACATTTATGGTAATGTAACGATCAAAATTGTACACATGACGCATAAATCATTGAAAGATAATGCAAGTAGAGAATTCCTATAAATTAGGAATACGTGACTTCATTAAAATTATATCCCCGCATTGTGAATATTCATCAACTTGCTGGTGGGTATGAATCATTACATTTATAGTATATACTACAGAAATTATTTACAAGAAATGGTTTTGTGCCAGGATGTGTTGCCGGACTGCCAATAGATGCATAGCGATGGAATAAACGTTCACTTTATAACTGTGCTGATAGACCAACTGGTCATCTAAGTCAGATGTATTTTGAAGCTCAATTTTACGACATTCTTTTTATGCAATCTTGATTTTAAGCTTTCGTGATGATGGTGATGATGATGGTGAGGGTGAGAGCCCTTCGACGGTCAAGAATATTTAGAGACACGACGGCGGCTGATGCCCTTGTTATAAATTGGCGTCTTACTTCTCCCGATCACTGCTTCCCCTGTACATCACCTCGGCCTCAAGCGAGGGCCCAACGCAATTGTCTCCACTGCGTTGATGTTGGCGCACTATTGTCCCTTGGTCGTAATTTTAGGATGACATCACTCACTAGAGGCCCTTTCCACATTCATATAGTCATTGTGAATAGGCTGGTAAAGCGCCCTCCCACCAGATCCTCATGTAGGTATGCTGAACTTCTTTCGCACCGTACGGAGCCAACCGTGCTAATAGGTGCTCGCCAAATCACACTTTTCCCCAGCAATGCGTGTTTATTAAGGTGGAATCATTATCTGGGTTATATATATATGAACATCTATAAACCATATTGTTTGGGTGTTACGGTAAAGCCACGTAGATAGAAAAGAATAATAAAAATATCACGACGTATCGATCGCAACACAAGCACTCGTCATCAGGTGAAAAATAGCGAGAGAGCTGCTGAGGCAGGATGTTATAAAGGTTTGAGATGGGTGTAGCCCAAGGGTCATAAGCAAAGTGGGCGGGGCTAGTGAAGAAATTTGCATGTCAGTATAAGATCGGAGTGCTGAGCTACCTCCATGACGACGAAGCTATGGAGGTGGCCATTTATATTGTGAGAGATTAGCATGTCAATGTAAGATCGTAGAGTCACCGTCATATCAAGGAAAACGAGCAACGATGGCTGTGTTAGTGAGACATTTAACCTGTTAATGTGAAGGCATTTAACCTGTTAATGTAACACCAGAGAGTCGAAAATAACTACTAAACATCACAGCCAGTTATGACTTAACTTGGTTAATAACGTCCTTCCAATGATTTCCCAGTTTGTACCCATCTTCTCGGTTGAAATTGTGTCTGTGTTTATATATCTGGATGGCTTCATGAACGATTAAAACGTCCAAGAATGGTAACTTGCCATCCTTTACCGAAAGACCAAAGAATATTAATTCCTGCAGTCACGAAAGCTTTAAGCCATCAAACCGCACTTGAGTAAACATTCAATAGAAACACGCGTTAAGATTATTTTGATTATCTGGCTGCTATTAATGTCCACGTGATAAGCCGCTTTGTTGAGCTATCATTTGTGGCCAGGTCGCTTCTGAAAAAAAGAAGCTAAGAGCTCCGTGGGCCTTTACCTGTTAAAATAAAAAATAGTTTAATTTTATTTGTATTTTCTTGTCATTTGCTTACCGTTCCTATACTCTGCACTTCTATCTGACCCACGCCTACTGGACATCCGTGAAAAAACGAGCTTTAAAGCCCATCGGATTCCACCAGTATAAATGCATACTCTGATTCTGAATATCCATGCGTACTGCTAATCCGATTCGGTTTTCAGGTTTCACAAACTACATGCGCAGTCCGGAGGGAGATATCTTCAACATGGAGCACTACAAGGTGAACCAGGACATGATGCAGCCGCTGTCTCACTACTTCATCGCTTCGTCCCACAACACGTACCTGACCGGCGACCAGCTCATGTCGCACTCCCGGGCCGACATGTACGCCTGGGTGCTACAGGCCGGCTGCCGCTGTGTGGAAGGTACGTACTTACGCCCCCGTTCTTTGTGTCTACGCTCCGTTCTCCTATAACGCGAATTTTGTATATAACGTGATGAATGTATCAGGGAACACATTTTTTTTTTAATACACGGCTGCCAATTGGATATAACGCTATAGAATGAACGGAACTACGTCGCAGCGAGTAGGAATAAGCGGTTGTACGGCTGCCTCGGCGTAGTATCACACGAGGCGGGATGCTGCTGGATGCTTCTAGGTGCTACCCATGCGCGTTAGTTTCTGTTCAGCCTGCATACGCATCTCACGTGTTATCGCGAACTGTGCTTTATACCCGATGTTATATATTATTTATTATAGCGCGATGTTTTCATACCGCGGTGTTCTTCAAGAACGCAACTACTGCGTTATAGGAGAACAGACTGTATATATGTATGCGTCTTGACGAGAGCGGCAGTGTAGTGATTAACCAAGTGCACTACAAACCCGGTGACCCGAGTTCGATTACTTCTCACGGCCAACGCCAGTGACGAATATCTGAAATGGTCCTGGAACCTCCGTTAGGTCGACTCAGTCTCAAACGAGTGCCTGGTGCGGTGTGTAAACATCGCCACGGGGGAGACAAAGGCGGCCCGGGCGTGGTGCCGGCCAGCCACCCCCTCGTGTACTGCGCTGGCCTTCATAAGTGCTCGCTATTGTCTATTGCAACGTGTTTTTATCTTTTGTGATTCGCTTTCCTTTTCGGTACTTGTCACCTCCTGTCGTGTTTTTGTATTGTTGTAATTTTCTGACCCGCTCCTCCTGGACATCTGTAATAAACTCCTTGAAAAATATATATATTTTTTAAAACAACGTTTTTATTAACAACTTCGTTTAACTCACGGTCGACAAGTACGTGAATGGCGCCTGAGACACGCGGCGTCTGCGTTTTGTGCGAGCCGATTCCACAGTTTCGGGACCGCGGCGTTTTTGACCAACACCAAAACATATAATTAATAAGCCGTCGATAGAAAAAAATTGTCATTGCTTGAAAGGAGGCAATTAATTGATGAATTGATGCCGAATTTCATACAGGCATGCATTGTCTCCGGATCTGAGTACGTGTTCAAAATGTGGAATTGATTGGACAACAGGAGGTACACTAACTTTTGATTACAAGATTTGACCGCGACAAACACAAGTGAAGTTAAATACAACCGTTGAAAAAGAAGAGCTTCATAGATCATCGGATTTCTCCAGGATAAATGAAGATTCTGACTCTGCTAATAGCTCTTACCCAAACAGTCTGTGAAGGCTTTAAGGGGGAGTTTTGTGTCTTGTGTATATTGAGTGGAAGTGGAAAGCCCGTTTAACACGTAGGCTTTCGTGACTAATGTATCATCCATAATATAGGTTCATTTCGTTAGATCACGTGAATATAAATGTGTCATTAAACCTACCACCACCCGACACAGCCAATAAGTAAGGTTTGTCATGTAAACATAACATGCGTTGGAGAGAAAATCCACAACATTTACAATCTGAGTACGACGTTTCGCCAGTGAATTACAACCAGCATCATCGGGCGTACAGAAATGTTTCTGGAGAAATCTCCCTGTTTCGTCCTTTAAATAGAGGGATAGTGTCGGGTGGTGGCGGGTTTAACAACACATTCATGCTTATGCGATCTAACCCAAAAAAACCTTTATTATGAATGGAAAGCCTGTTAACAAATCGGAGCTCCTACCCCCCATCCGCATTCACCCATAAAAATCGCACACATATCCACTGGTTGATTTTGAAATGGAGCTAATGTTAAATGCTGATGTAAATGGTTGAACGGATAAGCAGCATCGGGTAAATACGCCGAGTGAGTCGACATTGTAATTTTAACCTCATTCACATACATTGTGCGCCATGAAATTTCAAATGACACCTTATTCATTGAATTTTGTGGAGTACCCTCTGATCATTTTTCTGGACAAGAATTCCAATGTACAGATTAGCAGCTTGTTATGGAGAGTCTAATTGGTATAGACTCCCATGACTGATGATGTAACATCTGTGCGAGCTAGAAAGTTTAGATTAGACTGAAATATAGTATAATTTATGCTTACAGTATTACTAAATATAAAAAAATACTGCAAAGTTTCGCCACCTAAAATGTATGGCCTGGAGATAAATTGGTTGGGCTAAGCCTAAAGTTCTACATTTCCGTACTAAGGGGCCGTCCATAAATGACGTCACGCACCTCAGGGGGGGGGGGGTCAGACATTTGTGACGATGTGTGACGAGGGGGGGGGGGGGGGGGTTTGAGAAATGTGACGTCACATCAAAATGCGCAACTTTAAATAAATATAGAATTGTTATAACAACACAAATTGTTATAACAACACTCCTACAACATCAGAGTGCAGCGCCACATTAAATATGCACTACAATGACAATAGTTTAAAGCGATTTGAAGCATGTTTTATTTTCAAAATGGAAATATGGTTTTGGGGGGAGGGGGGGGCAGAGCTTTGTGACGTCATATTTGAGGGGGGTCTGACTTTTTGTGACGCCGTGTAACGAGGGGGGGGGGGGAAATCGTCCAAAATCGCGTGACGTCATTTATGTACGGCCCCTAAAACGTAATCATATGTGATAGTCATCATAATTATGGTGGCGAGATGTTAACTACCTCACATGTTATGCAGGAGATCATGGGTTCGACCCTGACCCTGACACCTGCTGTATATTTGGAGTTTGCATGTCTCTCTCCCCGTGGTCGGGTGGATTTTTCTCCGGATCCTCCAGGTTTAGAATCAACATCACGTGCTTAGAGTATTTTGGCTGCCATACATTTCCACGTGATAAGCCGCCCTTGTTGAGCTATCAATTGTGCCCAGGTTGCTTCTGTAAAAGAGCTATGTAGCTCAGTGAGCCTTACCTGGTAAAATAACAAATAGTTTGATGGGCAATGATTTTTTTTATTGAATACATATCAACGGTCATATCAATAGTCGAATAATATTTAAGTACACCAATTAATTCCCCTCCAGGGGTGTGATGATGAAGCCCATATAAAGTGGGCAGAGCCTGATTAGTTGTTTAATGTTTGGCATAACTACTGGAAGTTTGATATTTGAGTTACTTTAAATGATCAGAGAGTATATTGCATCTGCTATGAGATTTACTAAAATTTAAATCCAATTGTATGAAAAGATGATCAGCAATTTGCATATTTAGATGTATGAAATATACATGCAGTAGTTATATGATACCGATATGCACATAACCGGGATTTTCTGTAATACTGTTATTTTTTTTGCCGGTTTTATAGTTGTACGGTACCCGTGTTATCTTGACATGTGCATCTTACGTTGTTTATAATTTTCTGTTTTTCACTTTGGCCCTTTTTTTTTTACTTTGCGCTGTCGTCTGAAAATTTCACTCCCTCGTACAGTGGCACTCATTTCCTACTAAGGGGGGGGGGGGGGGGGCGGAGACTTGGCATAAGGTAATTGTGTAATACTTCACAAATAATGAAAGCCTGGTGGCAATTTGGAAAACGCACCAGTAATTATGCTCTTTGAATGATTTTCGCGAGAACCGCAGCAGCCACCGTCGTTGCTGGTTCGCGATATTGAGGCTGGAGCGCAGCTTGAGCGCGGGGTGCATCGTTACCACACACAGGGCCCCCCCCCCCCCTCTAACGCCCCTCATTATGAGAGTCGCCGCGTGCCCTGCCGCGTTACAATCGGCCCTCCCCTGAGGGCGGCTGAAATGTGGAGCCCGCCGTAGCGCTGCACGGCGGCGTCAAGTGGCTGGAAATTCTCACATTGGCAGGGAGGACGTGGACGTGGACGTGGGGGGGGGGGATACTTTGACCATACTTTAACCGCACTGGTCAGTGCGGGTTGGTGAAGGTAGGAGCGAGTGCTGAACAACAATGCTCTCTGCTGCCCGCAATGCCTACATCTGCACCCCGTCAATTTGTGTCTCTCCAGTCTGTAAGCACTGCTTCGCTTTCCGAGATTTTGACGAGAGCCGGGCGCATTTTTCAGGTGATGTGAAATTAGTAACCCGGTGCAATGTGTAAACACGGTTGCTTGGACAGCATACTGGCCTGGACATTTACATAATCTCCTCTCGTGGTGGTAATAGGTGTGTTGCTAACTTAATGAGGTTGATCTAACAGTGCGGAGAGCACATTATGATCACGGCCCAAGCGCCAATTTTGCACCATAATTGCTGGAGAGGGAATCGTGTAAAAGCTGATTTCGCATTAAATTGAGGCCATTGTCGTAGGAATTGCGTATGATATTTCCCAAGCAAAGTAAAATATGTATTTTTTTTTTAACTAAGGCGCAAAGCAAGTTAATTGGGTTTTGAAGAGTCCACAAATATAATGAAATAAAACGACACCTTTTGTTAAATATACGAACTGTAATCAAAAGATGATTACGTGTATATATGCGTTGTCTTGGATAACACTTCAATGTAATATTCACTGGTGGAGCTTAAATGTTGAATTTAAATGTGTCATTGTAGGCAACCATTGTGATCTCATTAGATGCTGTGATACCTCATGATACAACACGCATTTTTTTCAACAATGAGAACACCTTACAGTTGGAAAAAAAACGAAGCTTAAATTAATTTGTAAATGTCCCGTGAAAACCTTTAATTAAAATAATGCCTTGATGTTTAACGAAATCACAACCGGACTAAGTGCCATGTGCAATTCGTCCGTTTCATTGAACATTAATTAATGTCGCCTGTTGGAGACAGGCCATTGAAACAAAATTAATGCATAATAAATGAGCTGCAAGACATAATTTACGGACGCTGGGATATAAACGTGCAGTACTACACAATTTGCTGGTGTACAAACAATAGCGTGACAACGTTCATTGTGTGAAATAAATTGAGGTATATAGGAAAAGACATTCCGAGAACAATATACACATTCTTCATTGAATAACCACTTGTCACATGTGCGTATACACGAAACTATTTTTATTTTACCAGGTAAGGCCCACTGAGCTATATAGTTATTTT